ATTAGGGGCAAAAAAGGGGAAAAAAATAGCATTTTTCTAGTTTCCAGACAATAACTTGTGTATAAGTGTATGGATCTCTCTGAAATTGTACTACAAGGTTCCACACTACAAAGGGAAGGCTGGAATTGAGTTTGGGGGTAATTGCTCCAAGGGGGGGTTCATAAAGTTGGGGGGGGGGATTTTTTTCAATTTTTTTGGGGGTTTCATACTTTTTTCAAAATTTTCAAAATTTCAAATTTTTTCAAAAAAATTTTTTTTGGGGATTTTTTTTTCATAATTTTTTGGTTTTTTTTCCTAAATATTTTCCATTTTTACATTGATTATTTCTGATTTATATATAAAAGATAAAAATACTGATATGGCAGGAGATACACACTAAACAGGGTGTGTAAAAGTATTGAAACGCTGCCTCCCTGGCGCTAGAGTCGGCCACCAGAGAACACAGGGTCACAAAGAAAAGGAGAGTAAAATGATCTATAAAGTGTTAGGTTTGACGTCCACTGTTTACCGTCGGACCAAAACACGTTACAGAAAGGGAAATCGTATACTTGTGTTTATATATATATTCTCAGTTGTGAAATAAAATATCTGAATAAAATAAAGTTTCATATTTTATTAATATCAAAAATAATCCTCGATGGAGAGAATGGGTCTTGCCGGCTCTCTCACTGGTCTGGCCAGGATCCCGGTAATGGTTGGTCTTACATATACAAACAAAACAGTCAAGTAACAAGGTTGTCACTTATTTAGCATCTTTCTATAATCTCAATTTAAGGATATTACACCCTACTACATTATAGAAGACAACAACTTAGTATAACAAATTAAATGACATATTAATCATGTCAGAACCACCAACAGAACACTTAATGTGCACCTTCAATATCACTTCAATAGCACCGTCACCGGTACCGACAACAGTATTTAGCACCGTCACCGGTACCGACAACCGTATTTAGCAACGTCACCGTCACCAACAATCTTAAATTAAAACAAAGTTAACTTTCAACACCTGTCTGTATTTCTCAGACATATTCCAGCTTCTATTAAAGTTTGTCACTTCCCATTCTTTGTTAAACCAACACTCCCCCGGTTCTGTTGTTGCTTTTGCTTTTATACTTCCGACTGACCAGTGACAGAGCTTGTTACATATTGTTACCAATCGGCAACCATGGATCACATAAGGGAAATTCCCGTTATGTTGATATTGTTTGTAAACATGTATTGATCTCATTCAATAAAGATGGGTTTTGACTTTAAATTTATTAGTAGATCATTAAAAGAGTTTTATTTGAGTTTATAGTCTAACAAGATAATTACCGCGAAAATATGGAATCAGTACGTGAAATAAAACTTCCTAACATACACAAATCTGTCGTATCCTTGAAACAACAACCAAAATAACAAATTACAGGTCTTTTATTATTTTCAACATTGGACATCTCACTAACATCTATCCTTTATCCTCAATAATTTCCAGAAACTATACAGACATAGATTTACTATAAAAAGGGGGGAAGGCCGGCATTACAGAATTGTGCAACAGCACAGTTTTGCGCAATACCACAGTATTGCGCAATAGCAAGAAATCTTCCCAATTGCTCAGTATTGCGCAATAGCAAGAAATCTTCAATTGCAAAGTATTGCGCAAAAGCAAGAAATCTTCAATTGCAAAGTATTGCGCAATGGCACAGTATTGGGCAATAGCAAGAAATCTTAAATTGTACAGTATTGCACAAAAGCACTTTATTGCGCAATAGCAAGAAATCTTCAATTGAAAATAAATACAAATTTTTTAACCAATTTCAATGGGATTAATTTAAAGTCTTAAATTTTTGGGGGTTCTAACCTTGTATTACTATTTTGGATATTGGGCCCCATTTTTGGAATGTTTGCTATAGCTTGCTATAGCAATATACTATCCTAAGGCATTGGCCTCACACCGGAAGTTGGACAGACTATAGCAAGTGTTCTACTCCTAGATAATGTAGTACGTATACTAGTGTTTGAATACTAATTCTAGGAAGATGCTTTTGAAATTTTGAGTTACTTCTATTTTGATTAGCTTACAGCTTTTAATTAAAATGTACTGAATGTTCATCGATAATTCAAATGAATTCAACTTCATTTTGAAAATGGCTATCACAAACACTACTTTGCAGATCTGCGCTGTGCGGAAATTTAAATCAATACACATCTACACGAGACAGCAGTTTCTACGTTATGCTTTTATCGGTATTCCCCAGACATGCCTGAGATCCATATATGGGTACCTTCCGACGGGAGTACAATAATCCTGGTTTCAGGGGTTTCCTCCCGTCCTCCGGTTGAAGAGAAAATAAATACCGTGTTTAAATATTTCATGAATGAACATTTTTCGACGCTATTTTTACTACGATTATTACAAATGTTTATTAAAGATGTAAAAGCCCGAGTGTATCGAAAGTAACCTGGTATCTCATCTCGGCCCATAATAGACTCAGACTATAACAAACTCGGCCTATTACAAAATCGGACTATAACAAAATTTGTATATACTATTTGTTATTAAGTCTCCCAAACAAAGTTTGGAGACTTATTGTTTTGCTCAGTTCTTATTATTTTTCTTCATGGGGTTTATTTATGGGTATTTTGAGGGGCCTACAGAATGGAAGGATTTACTAAAGAACCCTATGGGATTTTATTTTTTTAAATTTTCAAATGACTATAACTTGAGAACAGTAAGTGATAGACACACACGGTCTTCAGTAATGATCACAGGACAATAAAACAAATCAAATAAAATATAGGTTGAGTCCCTGGGGTCACCCCCATCCCCCACCACCCCATTCAATTTGAGAATGGGCTTTTATCTTGTAAACAGTCAAGAACCCAACACCTAAACCATATATATTCATGTATGGGATAATAAAACAAATCAAATGAAATATAGCAGGAGTCCCTCTGGGTCACCCCCACCCCTCCTGTTTGAGAACTTGTAAATGGTCGAGATCCCCACCTTGAAACCATATATATTCTTGTATGGGAAAATAAAACAAATCAAATGAAATATAGGGGGAGTCCCTGGGGGTCACCCCCACCCCATCCTGTTTGAGAACTTGTAAACAGTAGAGATCCCCACCCATAAACCATATATATTCTTGTATGGGTCAATAAAACAAATCAAATGAAATATAGGGGAAGTTAACGGGGGTCACTCCCACCCCCTTCTTTTTGAAAACTTGTAAATGGTCGAGATCCCCACCCCAAAACCATATATATTCTTGTATGGGACAATAAAACAAATCAAATGAAATATAGGGGGAGTCCCATGGGGTCACTACCACCCCATCCTGTTTGACAACTTGTAAACGGTAGAGATCCCCACCCCAAAACCATATATATTCTTGTATGGGTCAATAAAACAAATCAAATGAAATAAAGAGTCCCTTGAGAATCAACCCCACCCTTTTTTGAGAACTTGTAAACGGTCAAGATCCCCACCCCTAAACCATATATATTCCTGTTCATGATTTCAAGAAGATTTGAATGACATACAGGGTTAATCCCTAGGCGTCACTTATGCATATCACTTTATTAGACCAAACCAAATTGTACTGGACTTTGCCCAATATCAGGCAACCATGGGAATGACTTATTATGGGAGCTTTGTTTGGGAGACTTTGTAACAGCATCCTGTTTCAATTATTTCTTGTATTAAGTAAAAAATTTTAGAAGTCGGAAAAAACCGTTAACCACACAATCTACTAATCGTTTGTTCAATATATAACAATTCGAACTAGAAAACTAACTGCTTAATTAGTAATAATACAATTTACTACAAACAATGATGAAGGACCTTAATCAATAAAAAATACTTAATCACAGGCCCTTTACATGGGATAGGCACAAAAAGAAATTAACAGAGCTTTCTGTATATTTTATTATTTTAAATCTACAGTTTAAGGTTGCAATAGAAATTATCAAAATTTTACATGACAAACATATTGATTTTTGATAATTGCTGATGAGACAGTGGTTTAGGGAAAACACTTAAGCTGTGATTAAATACATATTTGAAATAATACACATCTACAACCTATTTGAAATAAAACACATCTACAACCTATTTGAAATAATACACATCTACCATTGCAAACTTTTCACAGGTGCTATCCAGCACTTTGATTAAATTGGTCTACATTGAGATCCAAAGGGTCCATAATTAAACTTTGTTCATCAAAAACTGAATTTTTGCGGCTCTATGATATGCTGAATCTTATTGTGCATTTAGATTTTTTATTTTGGGCCCTGTTTTCAAATTAGTCCATATTAAGGTTTGAAGGGTCCAACATTAAACTTTGTTTGATTTCAACTAAATTTTTGGTGTTTTTTTAAATGCTGAATCTAACCAAGTTGTTAGATTTTGGATATCAGACCATACTAGGTAAATTAAATGTCCCATTTCAAATATTTAAGATCTTTGACCACATTTATTTTGTGTCAGAAACCTATATTATGTCAAAAATTTGATCACAATCCAATTTTAGACAGTATCAAGCTTGAATATTGTGATCAAACTTGCCCCAACTGTTCAGGGTTCGACCTCTGCGGTCGTATCTGGCTGTGCTCAGCGAAGCATTTCATTTAATTATATCCCAGCTCCGAAAGGTGGATGGTAAACAAGATTGTGATCATCTGTCTGTTCCATGAAATTATTTGTCACACTTTTCTTTTGAACTACAAATCAGAGCTTCCTGAAATTTGTTAACAAGCCTCATGTGAGCATGTTATATTTGTTTTCACATTCATCAGTTGTAAACTTTTTTGTTTACATATGAAATCTTACACATATTTACCATGTATGAAATTTTCGTTGCATTTTTTGCAGGAACTTCAAATAGATTGGTTTTCTTAAATTTAGAATCCAGCTTCATATGAGCATAAGCATATTGTGCGATGCATTTTCCAACTTCCTATATTCATTTTCAGTTTTTAGTTAAACACAATCATTTGAAAATATTTTCAGCTTGAATTTATTTGTATATATTTTACAGTTAGAAATATGCAAATGACCACCATAGACAAAACTAAACTTGAGAAGGAGGATGTCAGCTGGTTTGACAAAGATATTGATGATTTAGAAATAGGGGAGCCAGTATCTGAAGAACCTCAGGACATCGACCAGAATCAAGGTAGAGTGAAGTTGACATAATATATATTTGAATTTTGAATTTATAATTTTTGTCTCGCCTTGACGGAGTCAAAAAGCGAGACGTAGGTATGCTGTTTCCGGCGGCGGCGGTGTCAACAATGTATTAGTTTGTGATTAGGTCTAGTTCATGGTGAACCACTAGTGGTAGGTCAATGATATTTGGTATGCAGTTGTATTAGCATTGGCACATCTCATTATCATGGAGATTATTTGGCCCCGCCCCCTCAGTCAAGGTCTATTGACTTTGAAACTTTTCATAGTTTACATGTATTAGTTTGTGATTAGGTCAATTTATGGGGAACCACTAGTGGTAGGTCAATGATATTTGGTATGCAGTTGTGTAAGCATTGGCATATCTCATTTCCATGGAGATTATTTGGCTCCGCCCCCTTAGTCATGGTTTATAGACTTTGAAAATTTTGCTAAGTTAACATGTATTAGTTTGTGATTAGGTCAGTTCAAGGGGAACCATTAGTGGTAGGCCAATGTTAGTTGGTGTTCAGTTGTATAAGCATTAGCACATCTCATTTCCATGGAGAATATTTGGCCCCGCCCCCTCAGTCATGGTCTATTTACTTTGAAAGATTTGCTTAGTTTACATGTATTAGTTTGTGATTAGATCAGTTTAAGATGAACTGCTAATGTTAAGTCAATGATATTTGGTATGTAAATTTATTGGCATTTGCAAGTATCATTTCCATGGAGATTATATAGCCCCACCCCTGATCATGGTTCATTGACTTTGAAACTTTTACATAGTTTACAAGTTAATGTTTGTGTTTAGGTTTGTTTAAAGGGAACGACTTATGATAAGTCAATGGTATTTGGTATGCAGTTGTATTAGCATTGGCACATCTCATTCCATGGAGATTGTTTAGCCATGTACCTTCAGTCATGGTTCATCGACTTTGAATATTTGCATTACTTACATGTTAAAGTATTGCTATTTTAATTTCAACATTTGCATTATCAAAATTACAAAAAGGCGAGACATATCTCTGTGATAACAGTTTATATTGATTAGAACATTTTATTCTATAATACAAAAGACTGTTGAAGGATATTAAAAAGGAAAAAAAACATATACATGTATTAAGGTTGAGTGTTACCCTGTAAGTAATTTTGTTACTGCTTCTTTTAAAAGTTTATTTTATTCCAGAAATCCTACCTTTGTAGGTCTCAAATCTTCAAATGTCAGTTGGGCCTCCAAATATTTTTTTGATTGGAAATCTACCTCTTAAGTCTAGTCTCCTGACATGGAGGTCAAACCTCTCTCTTAAGACCAGTCGCCTGACATCAAGGTCAAACCTCTCTCAAGACCAGTCACCTGACATGGAGGTCAAACCTCTCTCTTAAGCCCAGTCACCTGACATGGAGGTCAAATCTCTCTCTTAAGACCAGCCACCTGACATGGAGGCCAAACCTCTCTCTTAAGACCAGTTACCTGACATGGAGGTCAAATCTCTCTCTTAAGACCAATCATTTGACATGGATATCAAATCTTCCTCTTAAGACAAGTCTCTTTACATGGATGTTAAATCTCTGTTTTAAAGGAAGTCTCTTGATGTGGAGGTCAAATTTCCAGAAACTTAACAAATGGTTATCAAAGTATTGTTTATGTACACAGTATATATTGGCCAAGCTACATGATACTTTGTTGTAGCTTAAAAAGTTGCATAATGATTTACTGAAATAGAGTTTTGCTCAGATACAAATTAAAATTCACCAAATAGGCTTATTGTCTACAATTCATGCTGAAATTTTTGGGTTAAGATTGCATAAAATGCAATCAAAACCCTAAGGTACTGACTTGATATCTTAATCTTCCAAGGTTTATCACTACCTTTGAGATACACAAAATATAGTGCATTGATCATAACATTCTATACATCCTATCCATGAACATTTCCAGAAATTATCAATGAAATATATGCTCAGATACTCAAGTCACAAAATGATGTTATACTTGTCAAAAAAATTACATAACGTTTGCAAGGTGCAGGAATCTAATATCTGTTCTAAAAATACCAATGATGTCATTGTTAAAGTCATCTCTAAAAATTAGAGTTATCTTCCTTTGTCCAGAATTGTAGTTGAATCAACTGCAACGAAGCTTTATACAATGCAATATTTAATTTTTCTGCCACTGAAATATTAAAGCAATCTTTACCCTTCAGTGCTTACATGCACTTTGATTTTTCAAAGTTATTTGATAAATTCAATCTTATCAGGTTGACTTATGGAATTTTGGGATCACCTGTTTGCAGTGCTAATGTTTTGATGACTTAATATGAAAATAAGGAGATGTGGTATGATCTAAATTAAACTTTTGTTTAATTTCATAAAAAATTGAATTCTTTGGTTCTTTGATATGCTGATTCTAACAATGTTTGAGTGTTAAATCATATCTAATTTTAGAGAACTTCGTCATCATTGGTTGTTGTTATTATATTATTGATTATAATTTGAAAATTTGCATCATATCTTATTTTAGAGAACTATTTATCCAGTTTGAGTTATTTCGCGTTGCACAGAAAATATTATGGATAAAATCAACCTGTGTTTCATTTCAACATAAATTAAATATATATAGGGTTCTTTCAAATGCTGAATCTAAACCTGTATTTAAATATTAGATTTTTGGGCCCAGTTTTCAAGTTAGTCCAAATCAGGGCCCAAAATTAAACTTTGTTTGATTCAACAAAAATTGTATTTAAGGGGTTCTTTGAAATGCTGAATGTACAATTTCAAATATTTCAGTTCATTGACCACATTCATTTTGTGTCATAAACCAAAGCTGTGTCAAATATTCAATCACAATCCAAATTCAGAGCTGTTTTAAGCTTAAATGTTGGGTCCATACTTGCTCAACTGTTCAGGGTTCTACCTCTGCAGGAAAATCCGGTTTGTTGTCACTCTGACAGCCTCTTGTTTCAAAATAAACTCATATCATATTTTTCTATATTATTTTGTAGTACAAAGATATCAAAGACCAAAGAGAGAAAGTTCCTCAGGAGCAATAAGATTTCCAATAGATTTATGGGTAGCTTTATCATGTCAAATAGCACCAGAGCAGATTTTGACGTTTGCTCAGATCTGTAGGGCATCAAATGCTGTATTGCATACAGTACAGTTCTGGAAACATTTATATAATAGGTAGGCATATTTTGTAATATCATGATAATACTTTCTTCTCTGGATTTACCTTCATTAGGAATGCTCAAATCTCAAAATTATGAGTTCAGATATGGGGTGGATTACATGAGACCAATATCTTTTGAAATATTACATTCCACATTTTCCACACAAAGTTTTTCCCTCTTGATGCTGATTTTTCACAGTGAATGCTGGTGATCATGTAGATTCACTCTTAAATATCTCTGTGTATATAACATGAACATATATAATAAAGGACAGAGTTCAACATATCATAAAGGTTAAAAGTAATGTCATGCTGCAATAGTTATATTATACATTTGTTTACAGAAAATAATTTTGCAGTTGATTTATAAACATGATTATTACAAAGCATAAACAAGTATAAACAATGGAGGATTAGTCTTGGTTTGTTTGTAAATGTTGGGTATACATCAATCAGACAGCTACCCAAAACCATAGAAAAGCACAAAGACCTAGATGTCATTTAACAGTCTTTAACAATAGACATGTGTCTATGTAATATGTAAAGCTGTTAATTGAGAGATAAGAAATGAACAAAAATTAACAGAGACTATCAAATATCTGCCAACAACACCAAATTCCCTTAAATAACAGAAACACACATTAAAAAGGAGATAATATAAAAACCACCACCTATAAGGTTCTAACATAGGATGGCCACATAAACATACACAAGGGATAAAGGAGGTTATTTATACGCCCGTTTACGGGACGTATTATGGTATACCGTTGACCGTCTGTCTGTCTGTCCCTCGTCAACATGTCGGACATTAATTCAAAAACGCTTTAACCAATATGCATGAAACTTTGGTGAATTGTTTATATCTATTGACGTGAGCTCCCTTTTGTTTTTTATAAATTTCAGATTTACCATTTCTGAGTTTTAGGGTTTTATTCATTAAAAAAAGGGGGATTTTTATACGACCGCAAAAAATTTTTGCGGTCGTATATTGGTATGACGTTGGCGTCGTCGTCGTTGTCGTCGTCCGGCGTCGTCCGAAGACACATTGGTTTTCGCACTATAACTTTAGTTTAAGTGAATGGATCTCTATGAAATTTTACCATAAGGTTCAATACCACAAAAGGAAGGTTGGGATTGATTTTGGGGGTTATGGTACCAACAGTTAAGGAATTAGGGGCCAAAAAGGGGCCAAAATAAGCATTTTTATTATACGACCGCAAAAAAATTTTGTGGTCGTATATTGGTATGACGTTGGCGTCGTCGTCGTTGTCGTCGTCGTCGTCGTCCGAAGACACATTGGTTTTCGCACTCTAACTTTAGTTTAAGTGAATGGATCTTTTTGAAATTTGACCATAAGGTTAAATACCACAAAAGGAAGGTTGGGATTGATTTTGGGGGTTATGGTACCAACAGTTAAGGAATTAGGGGCCAAAAAGGGGACAAAAATAAGCATTTTCTAGTTTCCAGACAATAACTGTGGAACGGTGTATGGATCTCTCTGAAATTATACTACAAGTTTCCATACGACAAAGGGATGGTTAGGATTTGCTTTGAGGGGTTATGGCTCAAACCGTTTAAGAATTAGGGGCAAAAAAGGGGGAAAAACAAGGTTGTCCTGGTTAATGGACAAATACTTTAGTACAAAACATAATTTAAAGCAGTGTAAGGGAGATAAATCAAATACATCATTGAAATTATCTCCCTTACACTGCTTTTAAATTATGTATAAAGTAATGGTTAATGAACAATAAAGATAATTTAAAACAGTGTAAGGGAGGTAATCCAAATACAACGTTTTGGTTACTTCCCTTACACTGCTTTTAAATTATGTTTAAAGAAATGCATATTTATAAAGGAAGACCAGTAAAAATATCTGCAAATGTTGCATCTTTTTTTTTTACAAAAAAATCCATATGAAAGATTTGACACTATATTTTAAATTCTATTATAAAATAGATTAAGTAAGCACTATGGTAAATTTAAATGGGTAATTATGGTTGCCAACTCCATTGGAAAAATTTGAATTGAGATGATGACCATATCTTGAGGGAAAGAATTTTTTTGGGGGAAAAAGGGGGGGGGGAGATAAAAAGAAATTGTGGGGGGTCAATTTTTTCTCATTTCAGATTTCAGAAATTAAAAAGAATTATTCTTCAAATATTATTTTTTTTTTCAAATTTCAAATATTGAAAAATTTCAAGAAGTAATCTTTAATTGCACAGTATGGCGCATTAGATTTGTAAAATCTTTGATCACATTTATTTATTTGTTATGCCGAATCTAACAGTGTATTTAGATTTTTAATTTTGGGTCCAGTTTTCAAATTGGTCTACATTAAGGTCCAAAGGGTCCAAAATTAAACTTTGTTTGATTTTAGCAAAAATTGAATATATGAGGTTCTTTGATAGGCTGAATCTAAACATGTATTTAGATTTTTGATTTTTGGCCCAGTTTTCAAGTTGGTCCAAATTGGGGTCCAAAATTAAACTTTGTTTGATTTCAACAAAAATTGAATATATGGGGTTCTTTGATATGCTGAATTTAACCATGTATTTAGATTTTTTATTTGTGGACCCCGTTATCAAATTGGTTCATATTGAGGTCAAAAGGGTCCAAAATTAAACTTTGTTTGATTTCATCTAAAATTGAATTATTGGGGTTCTTTGATATTCCAAATCTAACCGTGTTTTTAGATTTTTAATTTTGGGTCCTGTTTTTTAAATTGGTCTACATTAAGGTCCAAAGGGTCCAAAATTAAACTTAGTTTGATTTTAACAAAAATTGAATTCTTGGGGTTCTTTGATATGCTGAATCTAAACATGTGTTAAGATTTTTGATTAAGGGCCCAGTTTTCAAGTTGGTCCAAGATAGCGTCCAGTATTTAAACTTTGTTTGATTTCAACAAAAATTGAATATATGGGGTTCTTTGATATGCTGAATCTAAACATGTATTTAGATTTTTGATTATGGTCCCAGTTTTCTAGTTGGTCCAATTGGGGTCCAAAATTAAACTTTGTTTGATTTCAACAAACATTGAATATATGAGGTTCTTTGATATGCTGAATCTAACCATTTTTTAGATTTTTTATTTGTGAGCCCCGCTATCATATTGGTTCATATTGAGGTCAAAAGGGTCCAAGATTAAACTTTGTTTGATTTCATCAAAAATTGAATTATTGGGGTTCTTTGATATGCCAAATCTAACCGTGTTTTTAGATTTTTAATTTGGGTCCCGTTTTTTAAATTAGTCTTTATTGAGGTCCAAAGGGTCCAAAATTAAACTTAGTTTGATTTTAACAAAAATTGAATTCTTGGGGTTCTTTGATATGCTGAATCTAAACATGTGTTTAGATTTTTGATTATGGGCCCAGTTTTCAAGTTGGTCCGAGTTGGGGTCCAAAATTAAACTTTTTTTGATTTCAACAAAAATTGAATATATGGGGTTCTTTGATATGCTGAATCTAACCATGAATTTAGATTTTTTATTTGTGGGCCCAACTATCAAATTGGTTCATATTGAGGTCAAAAGGGTCCAAAATTAAAATTTGTTTGATTTCATCAAAAATTGAATTATTGGGGTTCTTTGATATTCCAAATCTAACCGTGTATTTAGATTTTTAATTTTAAGTCCCGTTTTTTAAATTGGTCTACATTAAGGTCCAAAGGGTCCAAAATTAAACTTAGTTTGATTTTAGCAAAATTTGAATTCTTGGGATTCTTTGATATGCTGAATCTAAACATGTGTTTAGATTTTTTATTATGGGCCCAGTTTTCAAGTTTGTCCAAGTTGGACTCCAAAATTAAACTTTTTTTTATTTCAACAAAAATTGAATATATGGGGTTCTTTGATATGCTGAATCTAACCATGTATTTTGATTTTGGACATTGGACCATAATAGGTAAATTAAAATAATTCAAGTTCTTAGACCACATTCTTTCTGTGTCAGAAACCTATGCTGTGTCAAATATTTAATAACAATCCAAATTCAGAGCTGTATCAAGCTTGAATGTTGTGTCCATACTTGCCCCAACTGTTCAGGGTCGACCTCTGCGGTCGTATCAAGCTGCGCCCCAGCGAAGCATTTTATTGTAACTTCCAGACATAACTTGTGTGTTAGTGTATGGATCTCTCTGACATTGTACCACAAGGTTCCATATCACACAGGGAATGCTGGGATTGATTTTGGGGGTAATTGCCTCAAAATATTAGGAATTAGGGGCCAAAACAGGGGCAAAAAACAAGCATTTTTCTAGTTTCATGATAATAACTTGTGTGTAAGTGTGTGGATCTTTCTGAAATTGTACTACAAGGTTCCATATCACAAAGGGAAAGCTGGAATTGAGTTTGGGGGTAATTGCCCAAAACGTTTAGGAATAAGGGGCCAAAAAGGGGCCAAAAATAAGCATTTTTCTAGTTTCTAGACAATAACTTGTGTTCAAGTGTATGGATCTCTCTGAAATTGTACCACAAGGTTCCATATCACATAGGGAATGCTGAGATTGATTTTGGGGGTAATTGCCTCAAAATATTAGGAATTAGGGGCCAAAAAAGGGGCAAAAAACAAGCATTTTTCTAGTTTCATGATAATAACTTGTGTGTAAGTGTGTGGATCTTTCTGAAATTGTACTACAAGGTTCCATATCACAAAGGGAAAGCTGGAATTGAGTTTGGGGGTAATTGCCCAAAACGGTTAGGAATAAGGGGCCAAAAAGGGGCCAAAAATAAGCATTTTTCTAGTTTCCAGACAATAACTTGTGTTCAAGTGTATGGATCTCTCTGAAATTGTACTGCAAGGTACCATACCACAAAGGGAAGGCTGGGATTGAGTTTGGTGGTGATGAATCATAAGGGGGTTCAAAAAATTTGGGGTTTTTTTTTTTTTTTTCCTTTTTATTTTCTTTTAAAATTTTCCATTTTAAGTTGGTTATTTCTGTTTTATATTTAAAAGCAAATAATAATGATATGGTAGGAGATACACACCAAACAGGATGTGTAAATTATTATATAATAAGT